TTCTACTGAAATGAATGACTTTCACCAACAGTTATATCTATTTGAGAATTGTGTAGATCCTCCAGTGAGACACTATAGTAACTTCTGCCAGGAGCATACCATAGAATCACCTGGAGGACCTAGAACATTCTTAGAGGACATATATTGTTGGATGCAGGTAAGTGATACTAAATGTGTTGTTCCTGCATGTTCAAGACTGTACTATGCCAGCTAAAATAGACAAGGTTAAATCCAGTTGTGTACTAGAACATTTTTGTGCATCATTATTTCCCACTCTCTCTGGAGTGCCATGTCCATCCCATTCTCTCACGTGGTCAATCCTACACACTGCAGTAAATTTCAGGAGAATCTCAAGATTGTATTACAAGGAGAAGGAATTCAAAGCAGTATTTGTTTTTTGCTGGCGTAACAACACTGTTTCATACAACCTGGAGAAAGTAAAGGAATCATAACTTTACCAGGCATTTAATGTTTACGTAAGAGTAAAATTATGTATGCCCAGCACCAGTTTACTTACATTTTCATAACCCAAATAATACCAGTTCTGGTACTGTTCCATTATCTGGGCGGACTCCAAAAGGGGTCCTAGTCAGAAAAGGATATCCATTTCCCTATTTTCAGTGGTAACCCCCCCCCCCCCAATATAATAATGATGGTTATTTCAATGACAACAACATGAGTGGGGGGAATGACGGGAAAACATGGGGAAATGGTTTAACTTCTTCAACCCCCTTCCCACAGTAAAATGGACTATCCTTCTTTTTCTAGCACCTCCTTGTGGCCTCCGCCCTGATAATTGAACAGTACCTTACTGCTATATCAATGAACTAGAAAGCACAGTCCTCTCTACAAGAAGGTAGCACAAGATAACTAGGCAAATAGACATAAGCTGGACATCCTTACTTCACATACACTGGCTATCATAAACTGGTCCACCCTTATGGCCTAATCTCATTTTCCATTAGACAAAGGTTACAGAGATTCTCAGCTCCCAGTTAAAAAGGGTCTGAGAACAGTAGAACAAATGGTCAATTAGGAAATTTATAATAAAATTATTTTAAATAAATAAAGAGATAATTATGTTGTCTAACAAAATAATACAGCTCCAGGAATAACAAGAGATATGAGTTAGAAAGGGAAACAATATACAGAAATAAAATAGCATATGTGTTAATGTTAAAGTATTTTTAACGATTTTTGGCAGATATAGAGTACTCTTTTATTTTTCAGGATATTATAAATGGGTCAACACAAATTTAATTTTCCCCCAAATAGCAGTGAAAGAGAATCAACGGATTTCAAATGAAGCTAAAATATATCAGGTGGTTCATGAACAATATCTACTCATTATTTCCTAAATGAGAATAGTTAACTTTAAGTCACTGGCATGCCTCAAATTGATTTCTTTATCTTGGTGCACTTTGTATAGGTGCAATGAATTTCAAAGGTTACATCAATGGAATTACTTCCTCAGTTGTCCATGGAGGCAGGGATCTATGGTTATTAATGCTTGCTGCTCTCTTCTCCCCACTTTACCCTAAACAGATGAACAGCAGGAAGAGAGTGTTGGCACTGAGTCCCACTCCTTCCAACAAGAGAAACAGAGTTCCAAGAGAAGGAGCACAATCTGCTGCCACACATTTTCTGGAGAAACTTCAAAACAGATTGTGCAAAGCAGGCTGATGGGATTAGGGAGATTCTGAACTATCACACCACCTGAGAATTCAGTAGTCTCTTTTAAGTTCAAGTGAACTATGTATGGGAACTAGTTTGGATACAACAATTATTCCTTGCTGTAAACATGATTCCTTATATTAAATATGGAATAAACATAAACAATCTATCTTTAACATTTTATTGGGCTTTTGGTGGCAAGCACTATTGTGCATATGTGAGAATCAATACAATGCACTAAATGCTCCTTTGCTGACCTGGCCCACAAGACTTAACAGCAAAACAAAAATATTATGTAAATGTTATTTTATCTTTATGCACCATGCCAGCTAGTACACCGTATCTTGCTTCACAAACAGAAATTAATGTTATAACATGCAGTATCCAATAGACTTAACTCGCGATTTTATAGTGGTTTAATGTGTTTACAAATGTGTTACAAAGCATTTTGAAACCAATGACAAAACACACAGAGAAAACACCACAATATCTTAGACAAGAGAAAATCATATGAACAAAAACTGCATACAAGAACTATTCTGAATAATATCATTCACAATCTAGAAAGGGCTTAAGTTGAATGTTTTGCTGCTCCAAGGTTCCTAAAACCTTGATTATTCCAACTTCACGTGTTTTATAAAATTCTACAAGTTACTTCCTTGTGAATATTAATTCACTGTTTCTACCAACATATGAAACATGTAAACGTTTGTCTCTAGAATATGTATTCTTCCCTCTGTAGATGAAAGCAGAGTACATCAGAAATACGTATTAGATTTATAAAGAACCTAGATCACTTATTATGCACCTGATCACAGAAATGGATTTCGATTTTGCTTTTTAACCTACAATAAAACTCGCCCCTTTCTGTAAGTAGATGGGTCATCTTAAGTCAGCAGACAACTTGAAAGGAAACATATAGACACAAGTATACATCATCAGTAACCAGCCTACTGGTCTAGACTTCAAAAGTACAACAAAAATTATCATTTCAGACATTCCAAACTGGGGATATTAAAAACAAATCAGGACACTATATAACATATGGTATCATTTCTATGTTCTTTAGTACTATTGTGATCCCTTGCTTCTGGTGTGAATTTGGGGCTTTTTTCTCCTTGTGGAAGCAGAAAGATTTAAAAAACAACAACAACATGAAGCTTGTCAGGTGTGGCACCACAGCTCTACTCTCAACAAAAGAAGTTTGCATTCTGCTCTTGAAATCATTTATAGAGCCACAAGAGTAAAACAAAACAAAAAAAACAAACAAACATTGCAATAGCTTTTTGTAGCAACCTGTCAATGTTCAGCCACTGTCCCATATATCTAATGAATACCATCTAACGCAGTAATGAAAGTGGATGAATGAGGTGACAGACACTAATCCTGGAATTGCATTGCCACATCGAGAAGATGCATACATAATGCAACAAAAAGATGCATGGAAATATGATGCGGCATAACTTTGCCTTCCCTTTTTACCTATCAGATCACATTACAGAGAACGCACCTTGAAATAACTTTTACTTTGTCTTTTACACTTTCCAAATATAATATAAATGTCGCAAATAAATAATAATAATAAAATATATATTTGTATTGTGTACCTGTTAACATGAAGAAGAAAGGTACTTTGATCTCATATCCTGCTTTCAAATGCATGTAGCTATAACCCTCAAACCCAGATCGGGACGCTGACATGCCTTCAAGCAACCTAATTTTGTCATTTCTCCACTCCCACTAAGAATAACGTAATCCTGCTGCTTCTCGGGCTAACACAGTAGGGCGCAAACTCCACACAGTACGCTTCCAACACCAAATGTTATTAACCTGCAGCTTATAGAAATCCAACATTTTCACTAAATAAGGAAATCAATATTCTATCTTTCCCCTTCAGGACCTTTTCTAGTCTTTGTGAATCGAGTATTTGTCAAACCAATATTGAATTTGATCCAAAATAACATTAACTCCACCATCTCTTTTCTGGAGGAAACCTAGACATTCATGTGAATCCCACACTAAAAGATTACAGCTATCTTACATCTATGGGCCCTTCCAGACAGGCCCTATATCACAGGATCTGATCCCAGGTTTTCTGTTTATCCTGGATTATCTGGCAGGGCGGACTCATATAATCTAGTTTGAAGCAGAAAACATGGGATCAGATCTTGGGATATAGGACCTGTCTGGAAGGACCCCTAGACGTTCACATGAACCCCACACTTTTCTTCTTCAACCATATCTCATTTCTGTATTTTAACACATTTGACCAAAAAATAACATTAATACCACCATCTCTTTCTGGAGGAAACCTAGACATTCACATGAATCCCACACTAAAAGATTATAGCTATCTTACATCTATGGGCCCTTCCAGACAGGCCCTAAGGGCCCTTCCACACAGCCGTATAACCCTGAATATCAAGGCAGAATAACCCACAACATCTGCTTTGAACTGGGTTATCTGAGTCTACACTGCCCTGTATCCCAGCTCCAAGCAGAAAATGTGGGATTTTATTCAGCTGTGTAGAAGAGATCTGATCCCAGGTTTTCTATTTGTCCCAGAGTATCTAGTCATGCAGACTCATAATCCAGTTTAAAGAAAAGCTGGGATCAGATCCTGGGATATAGGACCTGTCTGGAAGCCCCCCTAAGACATTTGCATGAATCCTATTCTTCTCCAACCGCATCTCATTTTTTCTATTTTTTCTATTTTTGACCCAAAATAACATTAACTTCACCATCTCTTTCTGGACGCTTGAATAACCACTATAGAAATAACCTGCTTCTGTATTTCATCACATTTGCTCCTCAAAAATCAATATTATGGGTAATTATAATTTGGCCCCCTTCCAAATTGTCCACCCACCCTCTCTACGGCTTCAGTGCTCCTGCAGCCTGTCTCTTAACAATGCAGGAGGCACATTAGCCATTGGGGACCCTTCCACACAGCCCTATATCCAGAATATCAAGATAGAAAATCCCACATTATCTGATATAGAGGGCTGTGTGGAAGGGCCCTGGGATTCTTTCTTACCTTAAGAGACATCCTACAGTCCTGCATTAGGAGAAAGGTGGGATTGAAGAGGGGGGGGGGGGAGAGGGAGGAAGAGAGAATCCCATTTCAACCTGGCAACTCCAGGCCCTTCCACACAGCCCTATATCTCAGAATATCAAGGCAGAAAATCCCACCATATCTGCTTTGAGCTGGGTTATCTGAGTCCACACTCAGATAATGTGAGACTTCCTGCCTTGATATTCTGGGACATTGGGTTGTGTGGAAGGGATCAAAAAAACCAAGAAAACGAAGAGGAATTTCTGGGTACCTTCATATAACAGCCACGTCCTTCCACAGAACCAGAAAGTGGAGCAACAGCCGTCCAAACGGAGGGAAGGAAGAGCCGAAAGATAAAAAAAGGTCTACCTCTCCAAAAATAAAAAACCAAAAACCAGAATAGGTTCAAAATTCAAATCCGCAGCTCAAGCAGGAGGAGGAGCAGGCAGGCAGGCAAGAATACTGAAGGGGGGAGCGACCCAGAGGCGCCCCACTCTCCCCTCGAAGCCCCCCCACATGTCCTCCTGCCCCCTCCCCGCCCGAGGAGGGTCAAGGGAGGGGAGGGGGGACGGGCCGGTTTCCGCGGGGAGGGCCAAGGAAGCCCCCTCGCGCGCCTCCCCTGGGGCTTCCTTCCTCGGCCTCCCGGCACTCTCGAGGCCCCTTTCCCCTGCAGGTGGGGAAGGTGGGGGGGGGGCAGGTCGAGGCGGCAGCTCTACAGTCAGGCTCTGCTTGCCTGCGCTTCAGGAAGGGGGTGAAGGGGGCGAGGCCCCTCCTCCGTCTCCCTCCCCTCCCTCCCTCCCTCCCTCCTGCCCTCAGACAGGCAGCCGCCGCAGCATAGCAACCAACATGGCCGCCGCGCAGTCACCCAGTGGAAAAGCGGCTGAGGGGAGGCGGAAACTCTCGCCGGAGATCTCGCGAGAACTCTCGAGATCCACATACTCCGTAGGCAACGCGCATCCCTCTCTCTCTCTCTCTCTCTCTATCCCCCCCCCCCGCCTTTCTCTCTTTCGCTGCCTGGTTTCTGACTCACTGCCTCCGGCGATTGGATAAAGAGGCCAAGGGACCGCCTACTTTTCATTCACGGGCAGGCGATTGGCTGGCCAAGGCGTCGGTTATGCCGAGAGGAGCACAATCAAGGCGGGAGCAGGCCTCCAATAGCATGTTGCAGTGATGGTGATGCAGGGAGGTTGTTTGCATGGGAGCGCCACCTGCTGGCAACGTAATTAGGATTTGGGGCTTTTGGAGGAGATCCTGTTTTTGGGTTGGTGCGAATTTTCCGGGCGATATGGCCACGTTCCAGAAGCATCACTCTCTCCTGACGTTTCGCCTGCATCAATGCCAGGCATCCCCAGAGGTTGTGAGGTCCATTGGAAACTAGGACAAGTGGGGTTTATATATCTGTGAGATGTCCAGGGTGGGAGAAAGAACTCTTGTCTGTTTGAAGCAAGTTCAAATGGTGCAATTGGCCACCATGATTCACATTGAATTGCCATGCAGCTTCAAGGTCTGACTGCTTACTGTCTTGGGAAGTCCTTTGTTGGGAGGTATTAGCTGGCCCTGATTGTTTCCTGTCTGGAATTCTCCTGTTGTTTGAATGTATTTACTCTCCTGATTTTAAAGTTAGTAATAGTATGATAACTGGGTCCGGAAGCTCTGAGCGTTATGGAGCGCTGTTTGCGCAAGAGAGACTTAGCTAATGTAAGCCAGGCCGGAGACATGTAATATACAAGGAATGTAAGAGTACTTTAAGGGTGAAACCCTAACCCATACTCTAACCGAGAACCCAGCTATCATACTATCACCCCCTAACCCTTACTCTAACCCTGAACTGTATTGTAAACCTAACCCTAACTCCTTACCGTAATGCTAACCCAAACCCTAAACCGTGCCCTAACCATAACTCCTACCTCTTACCCTAACAGTAACCCTGACCCAAACCCTAAACCTTGCGCCCTAAGCATCCCCTCCTTTCTATCCTTCATCCACTCTCCCCGCTCTCCCTCTGCCCCCTCTCTTCCCTTATTCACAGCCGCCTTTGCGGCATCTCTGTTCCGGACCCAGCTATCATACTATCACCTGAAAGTTTTTAAATACAAGCATGTGGACAATTTCATCAGAAAGGGGGAAACCATTGGAATATTGTGTCTAGGATATGGTTTTGAAAGCACACTGAAATCAGCGAAACCTAGTTCTGCACTGATCTGCTGTTACGAATGCTCAATTCTCTAATTTCAGTAATAAATTAATTACATCGCTAATGCTGACTCAAAAAAATGTTGACTAAGGGTATAGTATACCCATACATTTAGACTTTTGCATTTTTCCTGCTTTTGTACTCAAGCTGGAATTCATGAGCAATATGACCATGAAATATTGTAAACCACCAAGCGGTAGCAGCTGTGAACATATCAATAGATGAATCACAATCACGTTTCCTCCATCTAGTTGTATTTTCTGTTGTTGGAGACCAAGAGCGAGTTTTGTTTTGAGCCAAATGTTTTCATTATTTTTGGTAAAACTGTACAGTGTTCCATGCACTTCCGGGGCAGTGGTTATGTTTCATACATTTGGAAGATAAATAAAACACCAAGGTATAGAACGTGGTGCTTTTGCCCCAAGAAGACTCTTGTAGCCTCATTTCATAGGTGTCTTGTTCTTCTGAAGCTGAAAAATGATTGACATTTACTTTAGAAGATCCTTTAAGTCCAAAAGAGAAATAATTTTTAATTGAATTAAGTTGGGGAAATTATAAATTAGCTTTCACCACTCCTGCAATGTTGTATTTGAGTTGTGGTTTTGTTTTTTTAGAATTCCAACATATTTGACTTCATGTGTTCATACAAGGCAAATTCTACAAACCATCTGACAGTAGTTAATGATAAAAAATAATGAGACCCCTGTGGTTGAAGCAGCCTGACTGTTGATGGATTAGGATTTGCAAAACCAGACTCTGTCCCCTGTTTTTCTCGGATAGTAATCTATCTTGCAGGACTGTTGTAAAATGCTATGCCAAAATGGTTTAAGCACTATAGCAGAAAGTGTGGTGCAAATGTAGCAAATTTAATTATAGATATTAACACACCACTAAACTCTAAAACACCACACTGTATATTACTGCAGTATAATGGCACTCAACAGTATGATGTCTTTAAAAAGACTATAACTCAGCTTTCCAAGCGGACTTAGAATTGAGAACTTATTTCTGCCCGGCTGTGCTTCTGCTCGATGAAAATTGCCACAAGCACCAACTGAACTTGTATGAACATATTTGGTCAATTATATTATTTATCACAGATGAAGGAAGGTTTCTCAGTGGACAAATACCGTATGTGGAAAATGCATATTATTAAATGTTAACAATAATGTTCGACTACAGTAGACTTTCAGTTAACTGGAACTCAAGTAACTCGGACTCTCAAGCAACCAAAAAAACCCTAAAATTGCAAACTGCATTCACAAAGCTGTTTTTATAATACAGTAAAACATTAAGTTAAGTTTGCCTTTATTTGCTTTTAATTACTGTATTTCAATATTAATATCAAGTCAGTACAGATTTTATGATATCGTATAATATGGCATATAGTATTTGTTAGGCCTATTTTTAATAGTAATTCTCAAGCAACCTGAAACTACAATTATCCGGCATCTATCAATCCCCATCGGTGCTGGTTACCTGAGGCTGGATCTACACTGCCAAATAATTCAGTTTCAGAATTCAGTTTGACTGCACTAGACTGGATTATATGAGTTTAAGGTAAAGGTATTCCCTTGACATTAAGTCCAGTTGTGTCTGACTCTGGGGCTTGGTGCTCATCTCCATCTCTAAGCCGAAGAGCCCGTGTTGTCTGTAGACACCTTCAAGGTCATGTGGCCAGCATGACTGCATGGAGCACTGTTACCTTCCTTCTGTAGCAGTACCCATTGATCTACTCACATTTACATGTTTTCGAACTGCCAGGTTGGCAGAAACGGGCTAACAGCGGGAGCTCACGCCGTTCCTGGATTTGAACCTGCGACCTTTCGGTCAGCAAGTTCAGCAGCACAGCGCTTTAACCCACTGCGCCACCGGGGGCTCCATTATATGAGTCTACACTGCCATATAATGCAGTTCAATGCAGTTAAATTGTGTTCGGCATTACATGGCAGTGTAGATCCAATCTGAGAGTCTACAGGATATACTCCATATCTATTTTTATAACTCTCACACTAATATGGCTTTTAATACTGCTGATATTGGTATTTTCCAGAATGGCTTATGAGTTGGTATAGGGAACAGTGATTCTATATAGTGCTACAAGAGAGTAGCATTGGGAGACTTTGGAGTCATGCTGTGATGTTATGCAATGTTCTGTTTTGTTTCCAATGATTTCTGCCTTCAGACAATGTATGGCAACTCCATTAATTCCATAGGTTGTTTTCCTTAGGCAAGGAATTATCAGAGGCAGGCCCGTAGCCAGGATTTTGATTGGGCGGGGGGGGGGGGGGGGTGAGTCTGAGTGAAAGAGGGTCTACCTAGCAAACCTTTTGTATCGTTACCCCAATACCCCCATGCATATGGGATATATTGAGTATGGTGATCAGATCATGATATGAATAAACATAACAGTTTAAATAATGCACCAGTAAGGCCTTTTCGCGAACCACATGAGAATTTGGGGGGGGGGGGCTGACGCCCGCCCCCCCCCCTCCCCCCCCGGCTACATGCCTGATCAGGGGTGATTTGTCTCTGTGCCTCCATCCCATCTGAGTTGAAAACCAGTGTTCAGCGGCTGGGCTACTGTTTTGAGGGAGTGTAGGACTGGATGAAAGCCAATAAACTCAAGTTAAATTGGGAGAAGACAGTCTGTGTTGATTTCTGGGAATTAGGAGAACAGTCTGCTTGGGAGAGATGGCTTTCCCCTTGATTAAGCAGGCATGCAGTGTGGGAGTACACAGTACTCCTCAATTCAAAGCTATCTGTGGAAAGCCAGTTGGCTTCAGTGCTGAGAAATCTTTATAGTCAACTAAACTGTGATTATTTCTAAACCAAAATAATCTGACCACAGTATCCATGCTCTAATGATTTTCCAGGTGATCTGACGAAATAAGCTGTAAGTGGGGCTTTCACATAAGGTATTTTGGCTGCCACAAATGCTGCTGCTCAAGTGATAAAGGATCATATTCAAGAGAGTGTGATTGTTTTGAAATCTGCAATAGTTGCCAATGAACCACTAGAACCAATCAGTGTGACTATCTCCCTTTCCCCAAAATTCCTAATGCAGTAAAGGTTTAGGTTTCCCTTGACATTAAATCTAGTTGTGTCTGACTCTGGGGGTTGGTGCTCATTTCCATTTCTAAGCCAAAAAGCCAGCGTTGTGGGGGAAAGAGACTGGGGGAAATCTGGGAGGACTCCTCTTATACAAGGCCCTGCAAAAGGCAGGTATCTGAGATGCTCCAGGTAGCTGGGAAGGGAGGGGAAATCTACTCCAGCCCCCCATGAGTCTTTTTCATTCTCTCTGGGCTGGACGTAGTGGTGGCAAATGGGGTCTCTCCGTGCTCATATTCATAGCCTGTTTACAGAGTAACTGACCCCAATGTGTAATAATTAGCCAGAGGGAAGGAGAACATGCAAGTTTCTGGGATGTCTTCTATTTCAAGAGCTTTTCACAAAGGTGAAAGTGTGTGGCTGTCAGCATTTTTTGTTTTGTGTTTTGGGAATATTTGGATTTTCAGATAAGAAAGACTCAATGTACATTACAACAATACCAATTTTTGCTTTCCCCTTTTTATGGTTAGCATGTAGTATG